TACCTAATATTCAGACTAAACCTCCCCTGGAGCAACTTGAGACCATTTCCTCTTGTCCTATCTCTTGTCACTTGGGAGAAGAGACCAATGTCCACCTCGCTACAATCTCCTTTCATCCTACTCGTGGCTGAATATGGCCGTGGTTACATCTATCAGACCATTGGTTGTGTGGACTGCATATTAGGTATGCTGCTCCTGAGTTGAAAAGTTGATTATGTACAGCATTCAGAATAATTCTTCAGCCTGGGGTTGTGCTACTTTCATATATCCAAATAGGCATTGAAGTCTTATCTTCCAGTACTAATAGGTGTGGATGTCTTCGTCTTGGGTTCAAAAGCTTGTATGAATTTCTAGTCTGCTTCTTAGTAAAGAGCTTTGATTAGTAGGGGTGAACTTAGTGAAATTCTTACTTTCTAAAGAGAAAATTTTTTTTTCCACCTAAGGATAAAAAGTTGATTATACATTAAATATTGAATATTTTTCTCTTCCTTGTGTAATGTTTAAATGCCTAGCTGCTTCATGGCTCTTAACGACAAGCAGGACTCTTCTTAAACTTCATCTCCCCATTTATCACTAATCATAAGATGAACTTTTTGTTCTGGTTTTGACCACAATGTAGTATCTGACATGTGTCATTGTCCTACATCCACTCCTGTTTTATTCCTCCTGGGGACCAGGAGTGAGATTTGGCTCACTGACAAACCACTGAGGAGTCTGATAGCTCCATCTGGCACACAGGTCATGGGGCAAGGGAAAACAACCATGCTTTGTCCTTCTGCTACATGAAATGCAAGCTCAGCACGAGCTCAGGAAAACATCTGAAGCCAAGTGCCTTGTGCAGTCAGTGCAAAATGATGTTGAACAGCAAATAACAGGTAAGGATCGGAGAGCACAATCTGAGCCTACTGGTTTCTCAAACTGAATTTCCTGGCTGGTTAGTAGACTATCTTTCCTTTCACTTGTCAGTGCTCTCTCATTATCAAAAGGTCCTTGTACTCATCCCTCTCAAATAACCATGTTTTGCTTTTTCTTTTTCTCTTTTTCTTTTGACAGTTTTTCTTTCCACTGGAACTAAGCAGCTTCAACTTTTCCTATACAGCCTTTATTTCTTCAGTTTTATACTTGACTTTTAAAATAATTACAATTAAAAATTATTCTCCATTTTCCCATCCTAGATTTTCCCTGCTCAACAAAGATGAGTGGATCTTAAAATCCCCACAGAATTCCTAAAAAGTTTTAACAAGCAATATTGAGCGACATTTTTTTCACGGTGTCATCTAACTATCAGAATTTTTTAAACCCCACGAATATTACTAAAAACTTTGATTGCTTCAGTATCAGCAGCCTAGAATTGAAATTTCCTGTAACATCTTCCAAAAGGAAGAAATGATCTTTTGAAGATCAGCCTAGTCAGATCTGAAGTTATATATTTATATATTATAAAATATATAATATATAATCTGATAATATATAAATATAATCTGAGTTATTTTTATGAGATTATATGAACCCCCATTCAATGTCATTGTTTTTTATTTAGATTGTTCATTTTCTTTGTCCATAACCACAGCAGAAAGCCCCAGGCCATATGTACATGAAGTTTGGTTTAGCATTGCAGTATGGTGCTGAAAATCTGGTCCTAACACCACAAGCAAGCCAACATGTGAACTTCAGGAACCTCACTACTCTGTATCTGAGGAGTTTCCTTCCAATAAATATTGGCATCTCTATAAAGCACTTAAGGATCTTGTAATGAAAACACAAGTTAGATTTTAGATACTGTTATTACTGCGTTACTCTACTAGACTGAAACCAATACTTTAACTGATCTAGTTGCAAACTTTAGGGTGAAGTTCAAATTTAGGGACACGTGGCAGAGCCCTGTGCTGGTTTGTTGTTGAACATTATCTCTACAAGACCCAGTTGTGGAGTGATTCCTGGTCATTTATGCTTGGAAATCAAGTAAAGTTGGAAATGGCCACAAAACCCCTATCTTTCCTGTTCTTGGATACAGAAAGTGATGTGCCTTAGCCATGCTGATCTTATGGTCCACCTAGCATTTGTGTACCTTAAATGAGTAAGTCTTGACTCATACTCGAATGTGGGGACTCAGGTGTGAGAAATGGGTCTCTCAGATCACGCGGCAAGATGATGTCAACACACTGGCAGAACGTGGGGGAAAAGTTCTCAGTCAAAAAGACTGAATTCAACTTATACATAAACTTCATGCAGATATGATGGCTTTGTTAGATGAGCAATGAAATAAAGTGATGAGTTGAAGCACAAGAGAGATGGAAAGTCCCATGAGGCCTTTTTAATGAAGGGAATTTTGCCCAGATGCAGCATGTATGATGCGACTGTATCATGTCTTGGTGACTTTCCAATCATGAATGAGAATAGGACCACATATTTTCTTACTTATTAATGCATAAGGCTTTTGATATATGGAAAGTTTGATTTCTCAACAACTATCTGAATCACTGAGTGTTATTCAAAACTGAACTCTGCTCAATAGTAGGTCTAGAAGGGCGTGTGCTGCTCCTCAGTCACATTCCTCACTCATTCATATTGTTTCACAGGGGATTCCTCTGTTAACCAATTGCTTTAGAAACTTGTCATATGACATCTGTCAAGAATCAGATTCTTAGTTTTTAACATTGAAAATAGAGTCTCATTTGAGTATGAAAATAGGATATTAAATGTATTTGTGTATATGACTGTCTGCCTAAATACATATTTGAGGGCTTTTTTGGTTTGCTCTGAGACTCTACCTCAAGCCTTTCCCAATCCCTGTAGCTTTTCAGAGAAAATTAAAAAATACATATCATTATCCTTAGAGATGGGTCTCTTTTCACATATAGTAGTTTTGCACTAGCTGCCATAGGACAAACAGTAAATGAAATAAATTGCAAAGGTCTCAAAAACAGCCAGGCACAGAGAAAAGAAAATAAATCAAACAAGTAATATTTCTGTGATGAAATATGTTTTACAAGCCTAGCATGGAAACCAGGGGAATCAGTCAAGCAATAGTAAACATCAGTCTGTGGTTAGAAATATTTTTTGAAAAAGCAACTCCTTTTTTGCCTGTCTAGCTCTGAGCTCCCCGTCACAGGCTCTCTGGCAGCGGGACTTGGGAATAATCTCCTGGAATACCTGAGGCGTAGAAACCAACAGGATTAAAGCACCTCGTGCTCCTCAGCACAGTCATGTGATGACCTGCTGATTCCAGCAAAAGGCATTGTTTCCCAGCAAAGTTCTCACTTCATTTGCCTATACGTTGCTCCTGCCCTGCTGGGATTCTCCCTAAGCATCAGGAAATAATTCACAATGTTTTGAGTAAAAAAATAAAACCCACAAAACCACTCGCTAATAACAGTTGTAGCTGAAGAAAACTGGATATTTCATGTCCAATTTGCCCAGCAGTAAACCAACTGCTGCTCTTTTGCTTCAAGGGGCAACTTTCAAAGCATGTACAGCTTCTAATGCCACCCATACAGCTCTGTTAGTTCTGATGAGGATAATGTATGAGAAGAGAGAGTCGGGTGGTCTAGGGGCTGCCCAGTAACGTATCTAGTAAAGAACACAGATATGATATTTGCAAACTATCTGATGGGAGAAAAACAGGAGTCAAGGTTTGTTTTCCAGGTCCAGAGACGGCTGCTTAAAGTGCTTTCCGCAAACCTATTGGCAGATTGCCTTCATTCCCCTGAAAACCGAGGAGTTGATTTTGGTGCAGATTTCAATGTGTCATTAACTGTCAAATCGCTATAGAATCTAGGGGAACAAAAAATTATTTTTTTCTGAAAATTTAACCATTTCCTTTGTGAAATTACTTTGCTGTGTGCTGGCCCAGACGAGGCAGCTTACGTAGAAATATAAAAACGCCAAGCCAAATTATTTGTTCTGGTTTATCACCTCCCTCAACCAGCAGGTTGAGGGAGGTGATTCTGCCCCTCTACTCTGCTCTCATGAGACCCCACCTGGAATACTGTGTTCAGCTCTGGAGTCCCCAACACAAGAAGGACATGGAGCTGCTGGAGCGGGTCCAGAGGAGGGCCACGAAGATGATCCGAGGGCTGGAACACCTCTGCTATGAAGACAGGCTGAGAGAGTTGGGGCTGTTCAGCCTGGAGAAGAGAAGGCTCCAGGAAGACCTTATTGCAGCCTTCCAGTACTTAAAGGGGGCCTACAGGAAAGCTGGAGAGCGACTTTTTACAAGGGCGTGTAGTGACAGGACAAGAGGCAATAGCTTTAAACTGGAAGAGGGCAGATTTAGACTGGATATAAGGAAGAAATTTTTCACTCAGGGGGTGATGAGGCACTGGAACAGGTTGCCCAGAGAAGTTGTAGATGCCTCATCCCTGGAGGTGTTCAAGGCCAGGTTGGATGAGGCTTTGGGCAACTTGATGTAGTGGAGGGTTTCCCTGTCCATAGCAGGGGGGTTGGAACTAGATGATCTTTGAGATCCCTTCCAACCCAAACTATTCTATGATTCTATGATTCTATGATTCTATGATTTTACGTTTACTTCCTCTAAAAAAAAAAATAAATAGCTTATTGCTAAATTGTTTATTTTTTTCATTTTTAGGTTTACTGTGCTTATATACCTGACCAGATTCTTCTCGGTCTTTTTTTTAAACAACCATTTACTCTAAAACATATAATCAGACAAAGAATTTGAAGATCTGACAATTGTTTCTGTGTCCAAATTTAATTTTACTTCCTTTCCAACTGCAATCATGTGCTAGGCAGAAGATGAAGGTTTATAATAAATGCCTGTATTTTAGAAACCTGTAGCGGGTGGGGAAAAAAGTCACTTGACTTTCACTCAGAACATGTGATAATCAGATTAACCCTGAAGTGTATTTCGTGTACAAATGCATCCAGGGTAGGAATGGGGAAAGACATTGAAGGGTGCACTGTAGCAGAACTCAGCAGTGGAGCATTCCTGGTGGAGGGAAGGAATTTCTTTCACACTCGGGACTTTGGAGGGGTCAGAGAGAGCGCTCCATGCACTGAAGCATAACGCTGATGCTCTCCTGCTGCTCTGTGAGGATGTCGCTGTTTGCCATGGGTTTTCTGCTAGTCATCCTTCAGCCGTCTGCCGGGCAGTTCCCCAGAGCCTGTGCGAACACGCAGGGCTTGCTGAGGAAGGAGTGCTGTCCCACCTGGAATGGTGACGGGTCCCCTTGTGGGGAGCTTTCCAGCAGAGGCTCCTGCCAGAACATCCTCCTTTCTCAGGCTCCATTGGGACCACAGTTCCCTTTCTCAGGAGTGGATGACAGAGAGGACTGGCCCTCTGTATTTTACAACCGGACATGCAGATGCGAAGGCAACTTCATGGGATTCAACTGTGGGGAGTGCAAGTTTGGTTTCTCAGGACTCAACTGCACTGAAAGGCGACTGAGAACGAGAAGAAACATCTTCCAGCTCACCACCAGTGAGAAGAACAAGTTTCTTGCCTACCTTAACTTGGCAAAGAACACAGTTAGCCAGGACTATGTTATTGCTACTGGCACGTATACTCAGATGAATAATGGCTCCAACCCTATGTTCAGAAACATCAATGTGTATGATCTTTTTGTGTGGATGCATTATTATGCCTCTCGAGACACACTCTTAGGTGGGTTCAATGTGTGGCGGGACGTTGATTTTGCCCACGAAGCCCCTGGGTTTCTGCCTTGGCATCGAGTCTTTCTACTGATGTGGGAACGTGAGATCCAGAAGATAACAGGTGATGAGAACTTCACCATCCCCTACTGGGACTGGCGAGATGCAGAGGACTGTGTAGTCTGCACTGATGAATACATGGGTGGCAGGCATCCCACCAATCCTAATTTACTCAGCCCAGCTTCATTTTTCTCATCATGGCAGGTAAGGACGGGCCAAGGGGAAGGGGAAGGGAAAGGCTGATTGTGCCAGAATCATCCGACCTGACTTTAGGCACTTAAGTGAGGCGCACAGGCTGGCAGCTTAGCTGTGCTGCATTCCCTTAGATGTTCCTGGAGAGAAAGTAGGCACTACCAGAGAGCAAATCAGATTTTATGTGGATTTAATCTTCATTTAGAGCTGTTTGTTTGTCTCTTTGTCTCTTCTCTCTCTGACTGTAGGATTTAGGCTGCTTAAAGTTAAGGTGGAAGGAGGAAAGTTATGCTTTTGTGTCCAAACATGGCCTTTAGCAGGCTAAACAGGCTAGGGTCTGCTGCAGCAGACAGGTGAGAAAGATTAGGATTTATATACACAAATTCTTAGCACACAACCATTGCAAGACAATTGGTGACTGAATGACGGAAATAAAAGCAGAGTTTTCAGATGCTCCACACCTCTCCTAGTGCATTCCTCCATCCAAGAGTTAAAAACTATCAAATTAAGCTAATCTGCTTTCAACTTTAAAAAAAAAGAACACACAAACAAATTAAAAAAAATCTTTAGAGCACACAAGAACCAACTGTGCAATTCACATCAGTAGTTCAAAAGAAATATAAGAAGTTGCTCAAAGGAAATAAGAAGTAAACTCACTAGCTATTCCTGCCACTGAAGAGCACTGCAAATTAGCCTGTAAACAGAAGTAAATTGACATATTTACATAGGTGATATGGTCTTATATAGCTAAACTATACTGTGCTGTTCTAGCACTGAGAGCTTCTGGACTTTTTTTGTCTGTTGTTCATTACTGCCACATCACCTAAAATACAGTGACAAAGGTCTATTGGCTTCCATAGACACAGTCCATCATGACAGTAGCAACAGTCGCTTCTGGCGCTGAAGTTTATGATTATGTTGGTGTCAATCTATCTTTGTTCTATTTATTTCTGTAGCAACAGCTCAAATGAAAGTTGGGCAGTTTTAGTGATCTAACGGAAAGTGAAAGAGAGAGATACAAGCTCCAGCAGCAATGTGGTATTCTGACATTACAAAACAGCAGCTAACTGGGCTTACTGGGCTGGTTGTGCTGTATTTAGTCTTGATTTGTGTTCTCTCAATAATATAAGCTGTGTGTATACCTGTAAATCGAAGCATTCCGGATACTGTAATAGACCTATTTTAGGACATTTTCTGGCATACATTTTGCATGTATTGACTAGTTCTCCCCCAAACAGGTACTTTTCAGAGACCATTTCTAGGAGAATATTTTTATACAGCCACCCCGTTTGGGAGGCTGAGATGATTTCACTGGCATAGACATGGGTTATTTCATGCTATTTGGCCTCAGTGACCAGGAAATTTCTTGGCCACATTTAATTTATGAGTGTAGGCATAGTGGTAAAATAAATACAGCCACAAACATGCATTTTCATCCTGTTCTCTAAGATTCTGCTCATTTCTAACAGTATAAATCTGGCAGAACTCTACTAACTGAATTAGATTACTTTATCAGAATGAAGTGGATCTGATGTTCTGCACTGAGCTGAACAAAGACTTATGTGAAAATGGTACAAGTGTTAAAGTAGATTAAATGAAACTAGAATTACACTGGTTACATGTGTCAAATGGAGCTATCAATATAATTTATTGAACGAGATAACCAAGGTAGTAGGAGGCAGGTAGCATAAAGGAATCGGCAAGTTTCTAGCAGAATTTTCAAAAAGACCTGGAAGGGTCAAATAGTTATGTTTAGATCATTTTTTCAAAGGTACTGTTAATCATATCCAGATTCTTAGAATTTTTCCATCCTGGTAATAAGTACCCAGAAAGTTTATGAGTAGTAATGAATGTATTTAAGAAATCAACAGGTTTATAACTTCTCATTTAAGGTCAGTTGCCACAAATATACTCTGAAATTAAAGACATATTTTTATGAAACAAGTTACTTTAATAGATATTTTTTATAACTTCAATAGGTACAACAATACAAATTGTGTTGTATTTAAAGCACATTCAGTGTCAGTGTATGTATGTAAGACCACCTTACCTATATACACTGGTGAAGTTTTCCAAATAATTTCTGAAAATAGGTGTTTATTACTTACATTTTCAACCACTTCTGGAAACGCTGCACTTATCTAAATTTCCAAAACAAGGCTATAATAACTTTAACTTCAAAGGGTGTTATTCCCCTTTAACAACTTCTATCTATGCATATCTCTGCTGCCTTATCTGGAGAATGAATGAAAGAGATTGAATAGATCCGCATTTTCACTCAGTGACTTTGGGGTGAAGATACAACACAAACTGATCTTTCTTTATTGACCTTGAATCCAAACTTAAACTACTGCTTATGGTGCAAAAGGTTAGTCGATGCAGTTCCTTCAAGTAGCACAAAGAGATCAGAAATTCACTCCAGAAAATCAAAAGGGAACAAAAATAGCCTTAGCTTGAACCGGAAAACAGCCATAGATCTGCTACAGAATATGCTGATTATCCAAGCTCTGTAGATAAAAAGCAAGGGAAAAAAAAAAAAAAAAAAAGAGTGGAAGATCCAGAAATGTGAAGGATTTTAGGCTTTTAATAAGCATTCAAAATAAAAAGAGGGGAAGAGAAACCTTTTGAATAACATGTCTATAATACGGTATCCTTTTTAGAATTTTAAGTCTCTTTCCAAAGCATAACAAAACAATGCCTACTATGTTAGGAAACTGTTATAGGTTTATTAAAAAAAAAAAGAAAAAGTAAAGTGCCTATTTGCAGAACAGCATCTCTCTGTTTTTTAATCCCTAAAGAAAGGAGAAAATACTTTATTCCATTGTGAAGTTGCCATGGCAACATGGATACCCATGAATACATGCTGAAATTCTTGCTTTAGCCTTACTTTTTCTTCAACATGCTGCTGTTACCACTTAGCTGAGTGAATTATCTGTGCACCTTTTTCTCATGTTTATCATCTAAGTGAAACTTTGGATTCCTGCCTCTGCTTTTACCAGCAAGACTATCAGGAATCTTTAGTATTTTTATTTGTTTGCTTGGCTCATGTTTTAGGGTAGGTGGGAAGGATTTTCTCAGCTTTTCAGTTACTTGTTTGTGATGATTCAAGTGTTGCATTCAGAATTAGGACTACATGATACCCACTAATGCTTTACCAAATTTTGCAATTCCATGTCAACTTAACGGAAAGCTATGTGGGAAATGGAAATCTTCTATGATATTTTCAGAGGTTTTTTAATTTTAATGTCCATTTCTATAATTATTCAAGATAATAGATATGCTAAAGAAACTATTATTATGCCTCACTTAAATAGTTGTAGGTGAAATTCTGCACTCCTCTGCACCAGAACTAATTTGGAGAAATAACTGAAGTCAGTGGAGTTACAAACGCAATAAAAGCCTTCTGCATGTAAAAGCAGAATCTTTCTGCTAGTAATTAAAATTAGAGTTTGGGAATCCCCACAGTGTGCTAGACAGACAATGAAGAAAATGAAGTAGGAGACTGTTAAGTGCTGACTTAGGGTTGCTATTGTGGCAAGCAGGCTACACCACCTAATTTAGCCCCCTGTATTTTGTCTCTTCTAAAAGAAGAGTGACTTGAGAGAAGTAATTGCATAATGTGGACAGTTGCCTACTCTCAGATGTCCTGGTGCAAGCCTGTAGTCAATACTTCATCACAAGCAACAAGAATTTCCCTTAGCACTTAATTCTGTATCATCCTGCAGAACCACTTGCACAAATGCCAAGCTACTACAAAACGGAAACAAGTTACACAAATAGAAAATAGATTTAATGCTCCTGAGCTAATAATGACAATACTTTAGACCCATTACCTGAAAATATGACTTCATAAGAAATACGAAATGTAGCTATTCTGATGCAGTTATTTGTTTCTAAGCACAGTTTTTCAGGAAGCTGTATTGCTGGCTGAATAGTCTGAAAGGATCTTTTGAAGCACTATTTTATGTCTGTCTTTAAAAATGGCAAGAAATTTTCAAAAATACAAACATCAAACCCCAACATTTCTTGATTTTTAAATCAAAGTCTTGCATCCATCTGCTTGTGGATGCCTGACTGTGTCATGAACTTAATGACTTTATTTTTCATTACAACTTAATAGGTTATGGTGCCAGCTACAGGCTGGTAAATTAAGAAACAACAGCCCAAATGGAGTAAGTAACTGTAAAATAAGAGTTTATCAAGACTGATCTCCTAATGATATGCTTATACGGATTATAAATTTGAAGCATTTCCTATTACAAAGAGATACGTCTCCACATGCCACAACCCAGTACCATAGACTGAGGGAATGAGGATCTGTGCACAGCAGGAGCAGCCATACAGGTATCCTCAGCCTCTTTATGTCACTGTGATCTCAAAGTAATACCCCTTCTTCCACGGGATCACGAGTGGGTGACAGCAGAGCTTGGCCTGCGGTTGCTTGACTGCTCTCTAGTACAGAGCTGTGCTTGCTCGGGAGTTGTGTAGCATAAAAGGCATACATATTCAGAGGTGTATAAATTAATAGCTAAGGAATTTCATAAAAATTCAGTTTTGTTAATAATTCACCAGAAAAAGAAGCCTACCTGTAGAGAGATGTGTCTTTGTGAATCTGCAGTAGACACGGAGACAGCAATGCTAACGGTACAGCTTGGAGACAGCCAGAGAGCAGGGAATCGCACTCTGCCAATCCAGAAAACGTTGACGAATATTTCAGCAGTAATCGATAATAGAGATTCCTACTCGACCCCAGCACCGTTTTGAGGTGTTGAATGGGATGTTAGTTACCCCCCCAGTTCTGGACTGCCTCTGAGCAAAGATATGAAACTCAGCCAGCCTTTGCTGAAGGCTGAGAAAATACCTTGAAGGCCCTGGGTTTGTGTCAGCACTGTCACTTCATGCTTGTCTCATCTCCTCTTAGCTCGAGTTTCACAGCTCCTCCAGTTAATGCATATGCCGTAAGGGTCAGAAAGATAATTAATGACCTTATCCTTGCACAAAGATGTTTCTCA